CATTTAGTTTGTTTTAACTTACTATAATGTTATCCTAATGCATTATTTTTCTCTCTTATGGTGCATGTTTCTGTGGCAGCATCCACTTTTTCAAGGTACATCGCCAAACCTACCTAACTATCTTTCATCAAGATATTTCTTTAATCTTCTTATATATTAATTGGTTTTTCCTGTGTCTATATTGTATTAGTGGATTATATCTTTTTTTTGCACTATTAAACCTCTTACCTTATGCAGTTTGACAGTTTCCTTGCTAATAAGTTTTAGTTTAAACTGTTTTATATTACTTCTGTTGGGATACTAGGCTGCAATTGTTCAAAATTATTGAAATATTTAAAGTGGTTTAGTTTGGCCCAATTATTGGTGCTTAGTTTGGAATTAAATTATGCTAGCTGTATTGAGTTACCTAGTTTCAATAATGCATTCAGGATTATGAAAGCAATGAGAAATTTACAATACTCGATGACCGTGTAAGCCACTTGCTACCTATATCTTACCAAGATATGATAGTTAAGGTGTACTCCAAAAAGGTTGAACCGGTTAGTTATCCCGTGCATGTTTAAACTTCTTTCCTTTACCCATTCAGGTTGGATTCACTAATATATTGCTTTGTGCAATCCTATAGGTGCAGACAATTTCAGAGGCTTTTGAAAATTTTCAATTGAAGACATATGGGATCAAAGCACAGGCACATTCAACACCACAAAAGAAGCGACATTACAATTCAGTTTTATGAAGGGAAATGTATCATTACTATGATACTATTTTTTTTTGTTCACCTTTATTGTGTCTCACCCTTTCTTGGTATATATGCATTTTCTACAATTGAAATATAATCTTAAGTCCACAGAAAACAATATTGACACCCTCTTAAGGTTGTGCTAGAGTTACCATATAAAAAAAAGGCAATTATGTGTATAGCAGTGTTTAAGTGTAACAGTTTCATTTAGTAGTACTTGGCAATGAGAAATATTTTCTGTCACTGTTAGTTGGCAGTTTCAATTTGCAAATGTTTCTCAAATCTTAAGTTTATGACAAATTGGTCCACATTTCATGGATGAGAATGCATCTTCACTACTAACTACTAAGCATTCATTATGTAATACAATTGTGTCCAATTGGAGAAAAAAAGTTGTCTAATGAACTTGATATAATTAAAAATGTAAATAAATAAAAAATAATTAACTTTGTTATTAATTTAGCGACCGATTTAAATCGGTCGCTATTTTTTAACTTTGTTATTGATTTAGCGACCGATTTAAATCGGTCGCTATTTTTTTAATTTTGTTATTGATTTAGCGACCGATTTAAATCGGTCGCTATTTTTTTTACTTTGTCACCACTTTAGCGACCAATTTGATATATTAATTTCGGTCGCTATTTTGCGACCGAAATAAAATCGGTCGCTAACACATTAGCGACTTGGCTTTTTGCGACGATGCCTTTCGGTCGCTAACTGATTAGCGACCGATTTTTTGACATTAGCGACCGATTTTTTCGGTCGCTAAAATGAATTTTTCTTGTAGTGTCTTCTTCATCTATTCTTCTACCTATCTCCATGGGAGAAAATCATGACTTTTGAAGCATTAAAATGAAGATTTTTTTTTGCTTTCAAGATCTATGGGAGATTGTTGAAGATGACTTCATTACTCCTACTGACATTTCTACATTAACAACAACTCAGAAGAAATATTTGAAAGAGAACAAACAAAAAATTCAAGGGCATTATATTTTTTACAACAAGTTGTGGTTGATGCAATTTTTTCAAGAATAATAAATGCCACAAGTGTCAAAGAAGCGTGGAACACATTACAAGAAGAGTTTTAAGGAAGTGTAAAGGTACGTACCACTAAACTTCAAACTCTAAGATGTGAGTTTGAATTATTGAGTATGAAGGAGTTTGAGACCATTAAAGATTATTATACTATAATCAAAGAAATAATTAGTCAAATAAGAGCATGTGGGGAAAATATTATGGACAAGAAAATTGTTGAAAAATTTTGAATTTCTATTCCCCACAAATATGATGCAATTGAACAAATCAAGGATTTGTTTACCTTATCGATGACAAAACTAATAGATTTTCTTAAAACATATGAGCAAAGATTGAAAAGGTATAATGAAGATTTTGTCAAAAATGTCTTCCAATCAAAACTCAAACTACGGTCTCAGAATAAAGAAATTTGAGGAAAGAAAATTGAAGAAATTTCTAGAAATAAAAAAAACTCTAGAAATTTCTCCAAGTCTAGTCAAGATATATTTTCTCCTTGTGGCTTCTGCAAAAAGTCAAGTCACTTGGAGAAAGATTATTGACATCGTAGAAAATCTCAATGCCAACATTGCAAGAAGTTTAGACTTGTGGAGAAAAATTATCACATAAAAAACAAGCATCAAGCAAATTTTATTGAAGAACATAACCTTCAGCAACATCTTTTCTATGCTACCCGAGACTCTAATGATAAAATAAGCAGAAATTGGTATTTAGATAACAGATGCAATAATCACATGACCAAAGACAAAAACATCTTCAGGGACATTGATGACTTTGTCAAAGTGAAAGTACGATTGAGAAATGACACAATAGTAAAGTCAAAAGGAAAAGACACCGTTGTAGTGAAAACTAAGAAAGGTACGAGACTTATTAAAGATATCTTAATCGTTCCCAATCTTAAAGAAAATCTCTTGAGCATTGGACAAATGATGGAGAAAGGTTATGCTCTTCACTTCAAAGGAGATACATGTAAAATCTATGACAATAAAAGACGAGAGATAGGAGAAGTAAAAATGGAGAAAAGAAGTAGAAGCTTTCCTATAAGCTTCAAATATACTACTGATATTACCATGAAAGTTCAAGTTGATGATTCATGGCTTTGGCATAGAAGGTTTAGACACTTCAACACTCAGGCTTTGAAGCTTCTATATCAGAAGAATATGATGAGATATCTCTCATACCTAAAAGAGAATACTGAAGCTTGTGAAGGACGTCTTCTCCGGAAGCAACATAGATTACCATTTTCAACCGACAGAGCATGGAGAGCAAATGGTTTGCTGAAATTAATCCATATAGACATCTGTGGACCGATGAGGACACCGTCACTAAAAAACAACAAGTACTTTATCCTTTTCATCGATGATTTTTCTAGAATGACCTGGGTTTACTTCATCAAAGAAAAATAAGAAGTCCTTGAAATATTCAAGAAGTTTAAAGCTCTCGTCAAGAAACAAAGTGTAAGGCACATAAAAGTTCTTAGAAGTGATCCAGGTAAAGAATATAACTCACATGAGTTTGATAAAATTTGTGAAGATGAAGGAATAGAAAGACAATTTACCGTTGCATATACACCACAATAAAATGGTGTATCAGAAAGAAAGAATCACATAGTGATGGAGATGGCGAGATCAATGCTAAAGGAGAAAGACTTGCCAAATACATTTTGGACAAAAGCGGTCTATGCTACCGTGTATATACTCAATAGATGTCCAAATAAGGCAATCCAAGACAAGACTCCAATTGAAGCTTGGAGTAGGCAAAAACCATCAGCTAAACACTTAAAAGTTTTTGGATCTATCTGTTGCATACATGTGCCAAATAAGAAAAGACACAAATTAGAAGACAAGACTATACGAAGAATCTTCTTGGGATACAACACACAAACAAAAAGCTATAGAGTATATAACTTGCAAACAAAGAAGCTCACCATCAATCGAGATGTTGAGGTTGATGAAAATGCTTCTTGGAATTGGGAAGAGGGAAGAATCATGAGAAACAACATCTTTCTTCCAGTACAACAAGCCCAAGAAGAAATTCAAGAAGTGGCAGAAGATCCAGATACACTTCATTTATCTGCACAACAACATTTATCATCATAATCTACTCCTAATATAGAGTAAGATCCTTGGTGAATATATATGAAACATGCAACATGGTAATGCTTGAGCCTGAATGCTTTGAAGAGGCTGCAAAGTAAGAAGTCTAGATCAAAGCAATGGAGGAAGAAATTACAATGATAAAAAAGAATAATACTTGGGAACTAGTAGATTGCCCACATGAAAAGGATGTAATTGGAGTTATAGAAATTTGTATCAAGAAGGAGTATTGAAAAGTGATGCAAATTTTAAAAAGAATAAGAAAATTAAGTTCTAGAAACTTCCTTAAGTTCTAGAGACTATTAGAATTGTAAATTTTATGTAAGTAGTCTCTAGAATTACTAGAAAATCTAGAATGATAAGCTCAAGTGTAATGTAAGAGGAATCATCTCTAAGTTTCTAGAAGATTTTAGAGATGAGTGTCTCATGCTTATATATAAGTGGTGACCCCCTTACTTGAAGTGTAGTACTTCCGAGATTAATTATTATTTTCTCTCGTACAAACTTTCTTCTATTTGCTCACCTTTTTTCTAAAACATATTTTTTACACAAATCTCACTACTAAACATCAAATCATCTTTCCTATTCTTTCTAAATTTCTCATTAGTGGCGAACTTAATTACTTTCAATGGTAAACTGTGTTAAAGGAATTTGCACTTTTCTACAATAAAATAGTGTTGCAGATATGTGGCTAATCTTTTTTGTTCACAAATGTTATTCACTGTTACTTTGTCCATTGCCTTAAACTTTTTGTACATTCTTAACCATCTGTTTACATCACGTAGAATATGCTTGGACTAACTCCTATTATAATCTATGATTTGTTCAAGTGTGCGTATGTTTTAGATATCCTGTTATAATCTGTTATGTTATTACATGTCTGTGTGACCTCCTATTAGGACTTATTTTATCCCTTGAAATTAAGGGGATTTAGGTATAGACGGAAGTAGGGAGAGAATAGAGATTTTGAATAATATTATGCTGATTATAATGATTTGCAATGATTACATGTAATATAATGATGTGACCTCCTATTAACGTGATTTTTACTCATTCTAACCATTTTCAATTTTTAGCTATGTTTCTTGGTACTTTCTGACACAATTGTTTTGTCAAATTTTCCTTGTATGCAGGCTGGTTCTTTGATGATTATTGGTTTGCTTGGAAACAAAGCTGCATTATCTCCCAAGCTTTTGATTAGTTTGATACGTTCAGTTGCTGAGGTTGCTCGCAGAGAGGCTATGGAGTTGTCAGATCTCTATATCATTTCGATTGTCTCTGATATATTACCCTTAATCAAATCAATCTTGTTCAGGTACTAGTGAAATCCTCTATGTTTGCATAGAGTTTAAACAGACTTTGATCAATTTTTGGGTGGTAAATAGTATTGATCAAATTTTATTTCACAATGCAAAATTTATTCTGAATCTGGCTAGATTTTTGTTTTAATATGTTCTATTGAATTCTCTCAGTCTCAAAATGTTGAAGTACTCCCAAAAAAGGCTGTGAATATTTTAAAGGAAATAAGGTAGTCTTAATTGAACTGCGTGCTTGGACTGTTGTCATTTCATTATATATATTCCTAGTTTACTTAATCCCTTTCTATATAGGGACCTGGCAGGGGTTATATTAGAGTTATCTAAGGAGTTCCATATTGAAAAGTTTCTCCGGGTGCTTTCGGACTCCCTGATTGACTGCAGGTGCGCATTGTATGATTGTCTTTCTGGAGATATGTGCTTTAAGTCATATTTTATAAAAGCTAGGCATGTTCTTTTGCATGTTGTACAAGGAGGAAACGTATCGGCTGCAGTTGCTTCATTAGAACTCTCATCTATCTTATTTTTCCCATTTGGACCACCACTTCCCTTTATAGTTCAACTTCTTTTGATTTTTCTAAACTGATTGCTTCACCTTATGCCTAGCTTGAAATGCACCTTCAGTTACATCATCCATATCTTAGCTCTTGAGCTTGCAATTTGCTAACCCTCTCATAAATAATTAATTTCTTAAGATAACATGATTCTTCGACTTCAAATTTTTCGGGTAGGTTAATCAATATTTTTTCTTCAACCTTGTTGTCTTTTACAACCTCACCATATAATCTCATTTGATTCATCCAATGGGACCAACTTTGAAGTATATTCCTTGATAGACTCATTCTTCTTCATTTTCAATATTTCAAATTCTTCTTTAAGTTTGATGAGACAGTTTTGACCTTCTTCATTGTCTCCTCCTCCTAATGTTGTTTGATTTGTATCTCACTTACTGAACCCATATAGGACAACCTATCATTATATCTATATTTATTATTACCTACTACATTTAATTAGAGTATAAGTGTGTCCAAAATTAAGTTAAATCCTACTTATTAATACTTCTGACACAAGTAAACTAATTGAAATAAGTAAATATATATATATATATATATATATATTATAAAAAAAATAAAGTTTATAACCATTCATTTAACATTGACATAGTCTAAATTAATCTATGCTATGAAAAGTTGTTTTACATGACACATGATCTTTGTCCTACAAATTTCACTGCATTACTTTTATTCCTTCTCAATTCTCTTTTGCTTTTGCTTTGCTCATATGCCTTCCTTTGTCACAGGTTCGCTCTCTCTTCAACATGATATCTTCTAAGCTCATGTTTAGGTGCTAGAAGAAGATTAAGTGCCAAGTTTGATACGATTTCAATCTTTAAAATCTGGTTTTTAATATATAGGAATATATAGGTTGAAGTTAAGAACCTTATGTTTTGTTATAGTATGATAAATATACATTTTTGTTGTCGTTAGTTGCATAACAAAGCAAAGGGTATAGATATGTGGTTGAAATGGGAATTTAGATCGCAATCAACACTTTTTGAGTCTAAAGAAACATACCTTCTCAGTATGATTGAACATCCAAGCATGACTACAGCTTTCTAATCTTGTGCGACCTTATGTGTTGGAAATTTTTCTGTTAAATAATAATTTAATAATTTTTTTTATTTTAAATAAATATATAAATTTCTTAATACTTAATTCAAATAAAAGATAATAAAATTTTATTTTAATGGTGAGGTGAAAAGGAACAAACACATTACATGATTAAATTTCTTATTATCCGCGATATAAAACATGGAGCCGCCAGTCAAAGACAACCCCGCGGAAGAGGCTGTCGCCATTTCCCACCCCGGTTATGTTGAGTTTTAAATTTTAATTAAATGAAACATAAAAATTAATTTTACACAAGATAAATTTATTTATCAAAATAATAGCTTTATCATGAAATCTACACAATATCACATAAAATCAAAATATATACTTTAATGAAGGATATGAATTAAATTTATACAAATATAACGTTATTAAATCAAAATATTATTCATCATCGTATCAAGATTCAAGTTGATAATATTATATGATACTATTAGAAAATATAAATATGCTACAGATCCATTATTTTGGCGGAATATGATTGAAATTTAGTGACACAAATGTTTGATCATTTCTCTTGCATAGATAGGAGTGAAGGGGGAGAATAAGGAGACCCAAAACTTGTGTAATCTACAAGAGTGAAACCTAAAGCAACGGAAGAAATTTTTTTTATTGGAGCTGCAATGAAAAATCTTACGGATGGAGATGATTCGGCTTCAATCACATTGAAGAAGGTGGTTCGTGAGTTTCTTGCAGCAAAAGAAAAACACTTCCATGCAGAGTATTTTTGGTTTCTTTCTGCAGATGAAGACTTGTCCATGGATATGGGTGAAAGGGGTCTCAAAAGGAAAGCTGAAGAGGAAGTATCTAATTGTAACACATCAAAGTGGATCAAGAGTGAATAAGGGTGTAGCAGTAACCACGGTGATGACGTGTAGAAATTGAGTTTAACCAAAATGGTTAGTCATTTCCAACGTTGCAACAAAGAAGAAGAGACTAATTATAACCCACGAAAGAGAATTAAAAGTGAGGAGGGATGCAGCAATAGAAGATCAAAGTTTGAATATTTGTTGGATGCTGTTCCTTATTTAGTGTATACGAAGAGGAACGAGTTTGGCACAGATTTGAACCCAAGTAACGCTCGCTTGTCTATCTCACCCGGCAAGATTTCGAACAGATTTCTTTCAGAGAGTGAGGAGTTGTCGTTGAATGAACCACTAGTGCAGAAAAAGCTTTTTACGTCACCCAATTGTCGTCGCATGTAAAAATATTCGACGTAAATAAAATGCGGTGGCAATTTTGTAAATAAGGGACAAAACTTTTACATCGCAGACCCCAACACGCGACATAAAAGAAGGCCTTTTACGTCGCGCCACCCAGGTGCGACGTAAAAAAGGGCTTTTTACGTTGCGTGCTGGGATGCGCGACGTAAAAAGTCTCTTTTATTCCCTCCCTGGCACACTCCCTCGTCTCGCGCAACCAGGGTTTTTGAGAACGACGACAACAGCTACCTCTGCACACCATTTTCGATCAGTTTTACAGTGAAAAACATCTACATTGTGTGTCATTTGACGAACTTGATATTTCTCCCCGATTGGATTCGAGTTTGAAATCATTTTTCGTCTACACTCGAGGTTAGTGTTCTATGTCATTGCTATATGTTTACATTGAATCCGTGGATGTTTTTGGGGATCTCAATCACGTTATAGTATATGAATGTCTCCACTGGATTGTTATTGGAATGTAATTATTTGTTTATTTATTTGAGTGCATTCGGTTTACACACTCCATTGTTGTTGGAACGTGCTTTGTTGTTTGTATATTAATTTCTTTTTACATATAATTTTTAAATCTCTAGGAGTGACGAAACTTTATAACATAATATGAATCGAAGTTGGATGAATGCACGTCGTATTAGTGAAGAGTATGAAAAAGGAGTTGAGGAATTTTTGAAATTTGCTAGTGAAAATGGAAAAGCTATGAAAGGGACATATTATTGTCCATGTGTTCGTTGTTTGAATCAAATTCGTCATAAACTTGAGGATATACGTGATCACTTGTTTGTTTATGATATTATTAAGAGTTATACAATATGGACATGGCATGGAGAAATATTAGACATCCTAACTGTGTCAACTACGAGACAATTTTGATGAAGGGATGGATGATAATCTAGAGGATATGATACGTGATATTGGTGAAGAAAATTTTATGAAAGCACATCTATATGATTCTTTGAAATCTGATTTTGCACAACAATTGTACATAGGATGTAGTTTTACAAGATTATCAGCAACTTTAAAATTGTTTACTTTAAAAGCAAGAAATGGATGGACTGATAAAAGTTTCACCGAATTATTGGAGTTGTTGAAGGAGATGCTTCCTGAAGATAATACATTACCTATTCGTAACTATGAGGCAAAAAAGATATTATGTCCAATGGGTTTAGAGTACAAGAAAATACATGCATGTTCTAATGATTGTATATTGTACAGAAATGATTTTGCTAAATTAAATATGTGTCCGACATGTGGTTTGTCGAGGTTCAAAATCAAAGTTGAGGAAAGTAGTGGTGAGGAAGAACTAGATGGTCCCCCTGCTAAGGTGTTATGGTATTTGCCAATTATACCTAGGTTTAAAAGATTATTTGCCATAAAAGAAGATGCAAGAAACTTAACATGGCATGCAAATGGTAGAAAATGTGACAATCTTCTTCGACATCCAGCTGATTCTCCACAATGGAAAAGGATTGATGAAACATTTCCAGAATTTGGTGCAGAGCCAAGAAACTTGAGAATTGGATTAGCTATAGATGGGATGAATCCTTATGGAAATTTAAGTAGTAAACATAGTTCATGGCCAGTTATGTTGATCATTTACAATTTGCCTCCTTGGTTATGCATGAAGAGAAAATATATGATGTTATCTATGATGATTTCAGGACCTCGACAACCAGGAAATGACATAGATGTATATCTTAGTCCTTTAATTGATGATTTGAAGATGTTGTGGGAAATAGGAGTGGATGTATTTGATTCATATCACGAAGTGAATTTCAGGTTGCGTGCAATGTTATTTTGTACTATAAATGATTTTCCAGCATATGGTAATTTGAGCGGTTATAGTGTGAAAGGTCATTTAGCGTGTCCTTTATGTCAAGAAGACACAAGTTATATCTAATTGAAACATGGACAAAAAATTGCGTACAATAGGCATAGAAAGTTTCTAGTTGCTAATCATCCATATCGTAAAATGAAAAAAGCATTTAATGGATGTCAGGAGAATGCAATTGCATCAGTACCACGCAATGGTGAACAAGTATATGAGCAAGTGAAAAATATTAATATTGTGTTTGGAAAGACCCAAAAGAAATCCAATGAGAAAAACATTTGGAAGAAACAGATCTATATTCTTCAATCTTCCTTATTGGTGTAAGTTGGAAGTTAGACACTTGTATAGATGTGATGCATGTTGAAAAAAATGTTTGTGATAGTATAATTGGGACATTGCTTAACATAAAAGGAAAGACAAAAGATGGAATAAAAGCAAGACAAGATTTGGCGAGACATGGGTATACGTTCGAATTACATCCACAATCGGTTGGAAACCGCACTTACTTACCTCCGAGCTTGTCATACTCTATCAAAGAAAGAAAAGAGAAGCTTTTGTGAGTGTTTACATGAGGTCAAAGTGCCACAAGGATACTCCTCAAATGTTAAGAGTCTTGTGTCTATGCAAGAGTTGAAATTAGTTGGTTTAAAGTCTCATGATTGTCATGTGTTGATGCAACAACTTTTACCAGTGGCGATTCGAAACATCTTACCAACTTCGTTAGAATTGCTATTACTCGGTTATGTTTGTTTTTCAACGCCATTTGTAAAAAGGTAATTGATCCAAAAAAGTTAGATGAATTAGAAAATGAAGCAATTGTAATAGTGTGCCGAGTTAGAAATGTATTTTCCCCCTTCATTTTTTGATATCATGGTGCATTTGATAGTCCATTTGGTAAGGAAAATTCGATTATGTGGTCCAATTTTTCTTAGATGGATGTATCCTGTTGAGAGATACATGAAGATCTTAAAAGGATATGTGAAGAATCAGTACAGAGCCAAAAGCTTCTATTGTGGAAAGGTACATTGCGGAAGAAGCCATTGAGTTTTGTTTAGGATACATGTCAAAATCAGAACCAATAGGTATTCCTAAGATGAGACATGATGGAAGATGTGAAGGTAAGGGTACTCGAAATTTAAAGATTAAAAATGTTAGTCGGAAAGAAGTTGACCAAGCACATTTATACATATTGAACAACACTGATGAAGTAATCCCTTACATATCACAACACATAACTGAAATAAAGGCAACACATCCACGAATGAATGAAAAATGGGTATTGAATGAACATAACAAAAGTTTCCTTTCTTGGTTTAAAAAAAGGATATATGTTGAGATTAATGCTTCAGAAACACTTTTGAGACTTGCTCGTGGGCCTAATAGTGATGTCATTACATTTGGTGGGTATGACATTAATAACTATTGTTTCTACTCAAAAATAGAAGATGATAAAGGTAGAGTACAAAATAGTGGGGTCACAATTCAAGCTGAATCTATGCATTTTTCTAGTTCTAAAGACAAAAATCCTATCACAGCTTCTATGAGTTATTTTGGGGTGAATCTATGCATTTTTCTAGTTCTAAAGACAAAAATCCTATCACAGCTTCTATGAGTTATTTTGGGGTCATACAAGAGATATGGGAAATTGATTATGTTACTTTTAGGGTGCCTGTCTTCAAGTGTAAATGGGTTGAAGGGAATACGGGTGTGCGAACAGATGACCTAGGATTTACTTTGGTTGATTTGAGTAAAGTTGGGTGTCGCCGCCGTCTTAAAAAAAGACAAAGGTGGTCGGAGCGACGCGATGGTTTTTCGACCCTTTTTGTTTTCGCGTTTTTTATGGGTGGTTACAACGCCTTTAGGTTGTCCGATAACCGGGCTAACCTAGGGGCGAGGTTTTCAAAAGGTGTCCTTGGGTTGTCCGATAACCGGGCTAACCCAAGGACTTATTTATTTTGGGTTCTATGGAGTCGCCACCGATGTTTTTACCGAAAACATCGGAAATGGTTTTTAAAAGGCGTTGGTTTTCGAAAACCAACTTTGGTCATTAGAACCAGAGTTGGGTAAGAGAGTTAGTTACGTGGTAAAGGAAGTATTAGTTCCTTTACTACGCCCCTTTCGGGTTCCCTATGATAGGCCAGCTATTTTATTGATAAATAAACCAGAAAAATACGCTTTTGCCATTTTTATTTTGCAGAATTTTAAAATTATGACTACATGGCCATAATCTATCGCATAATTTAAAATTAAAACAGTAAAAGTAGAGAGGGAGAGTTTAAACCTCCGAAGCAAGCTTTCTCTATTAATTTCTCAATAAATTGGGTGCGTTTTGACAGCCCTTCACTCTACAGCGCTGGAAAACCTCTCGGAACGCTCGAAAACTCACTCTAAAGACACTCAGAAGCTCCGGAAATGCGTCAGAGGGATTCTAGAGAGAGAAATCCTAGAGAGAAGGAGGAGAGAAAGCTGTGGTGTCTGGAAATGAGGGGGGGAGGACCCCTATTTATAGGTTTTCGCGCTGTCAGGTGGCGAGACCGTCGTTCTCGTCTGACAGGGTCGAGACCACCGTCTCGTCCAACGAGACCGCCGTCTCGACCTGCCAAATGCGGCGAGACCGCCGTTTGGGAAAACGAGACCGTCGTCTCGCCCTTCGCAGGTGGCGAGACCGCCGTCTCGCCCTTCGCAGGTGGCGAGACCGCCGTCTCGTCAAGCGAGACGGTGGTCTCGCCACTTGCATGAGGCGAGACGGCGGTCTGGGAAATCCAGACGGCGGTCTCGTCCCAACAAGGCGAGAAAACTTATTTTTCGTACAGAAACTCCCTCCTATCCTAGTATGGGGCCTAATAGTCTCTCCTAATGGCTTGTTAGGCTTTGTCCATCTTCAAATAGGAGGTCTCCTGGTCTTTTATTTGGAGGCCGGGCAAGATTTGGGGTCTACAGTTGCCCCCTTTACTCGACTAGTCAAGCTGTTGGTCCGTTGTGCCAAACAGATTGACGGGAAGGTAAAGGAGTTGACCCTCTTGCCCGATTGCCCTTCAGATGTTCCGTCTATGCGACGGATGATCTTCTGGGGAAAATTGTGTATTCGTGCACTTCCGGGATACTCCTTCGACGGTAGCCGATCCCTTCGGTGGACACGTGGTAAAACCT